TTCATTTTCCTATGTGTTCAGATTATTTTCCTAAGAGTGCTTGATCCTATTTTGTGTATTGTATTCTAAGTGTTTATTTGTGCCTAATTGTAATTATTTGTCTTAGTGAAATATGTGATTATGTGAATTATTTGTCTAATTGAAGTATTTGATTATGTGAATTAATATCCTAATTGAATTATGTGATTATGTGAATTAATTTTCTAATTGAATTATGTGATCATTTGAATTATTTTCTTAAGTGAATTATGTGCCAATGTGATATATTTTTCTAAGTGAATATGTGCTTATACGATTATTAAGTGCAAATTTTATCTTAAGTGCCCAATGATATTTATGTGTTAAGTGTGTATTCTATTTTGGCCCTAAGATTCTTTTTAATAATCCTAGGAAAAATTACATACATAACACCATGTCTACGAATATTTACATATATACAATCATGCAAATTATTAATCAAAAGAGGATGACAAATTAATTTTAATTTCATCTGTACGAGATTTTGATTTCTCTCACCATACTTTTTTTTCTCTCTCTATCTCTCTCTCTATCCATATATTAATTATGACCGAAATTCACGCATGAAATTGATTCTCTCTCCCAATCTGTTTCCCTCTCCAATTGCTTCTCTTTCCAATAAGTCTATTTTTCTCACCAAAATAAAAATCATGCTATTAATAATAGCTACAAATTCATTCATCTCTCCAAATCCATTGCTTCTCTTTCCAAGAAAATTGTTTCTCTCACCAAAATAATAATCATGCCCGCCCGTCAAAATATGAGTTAGTGAAATTGATCGTGAAAATATGTTTATATATACTGTATATATACATAAGATAAACAACATGTAAGAAAACATGTGAAAATATGTTTATATATCTCTCTTATATCTTATATGTATAAGTTAGTGGTCTTTAAATGCCGACAAGTGTCCATTTTGGTGGTGCTCAAAAGTTGACACGTGTCCTTTTATGGACCAAAATATCCTTCATGTTTTCTACTAATTACAGCTTTGCCATTGAGTATTTTTATTGTTAATTAAATGGGCAGCATTCTCGGTTGTCAATTCCCTCTTTTCATTCTCTGTTTTTTCACCGCAAAATCTGATTTGCTTTTTTTACTTCTTTCTTCATATCGCAGAAATCTCGCACACGCCATTGCAAACCCTACGCAACCTATTACTCTCAGTTTTCTCTCATTTCTTGAGTAACGACGATGTCCTCGGTGAGAGATAAGAACAATCGAGCTTCTCCAAACACATTCAGATTCTATCGCCCCCTGAGTTTCTTCCATGCTGTCTGGTGGTGGGCCCCAGCAAGGAGAAGGCGGCAACCATGGTCGGGGTACAGCTGCATCGGCATCTGCCTTACCTTCATCTTCTTCGTTTGTCGTGTCTGCATTTGAGCAGCAACAAAGACGCTAGAATTCTCGCACACGTTAAGACGGAGCAGGTAAATACCTCTTCTATTCACAAACCCAATTATCTCACAATCCACCATTCTCATTTGCTCTCACACGGAACTCTACCCGTAGCCATTGTTGAGCCGTTCAAGAGGCCATAGCGCGTATATTCATTGAGATGGTGAGCCGAACTCTCAGTTGCTGCCATTTTTTTCGGCCAATTCGAGCTACTGAGACAGTGCAAAGACAAACGACAGTGCAAAGACAAGGTCTGGCAGCTACGGAGACGACGAAATGGCGAGAATTACGAGGCGAGCTGGCGGTAGATAGATCGAAGAATACTTGGTGGGGGTGGCGAGCTGGCGATAGAAATATAGAGGGAGATCTGCCGGGCGGCGAGCCGGCGGCTGAATTATTATATCTGCACAATCGCTCCTTTATCCCCAGAGCGGCACGGGTCTGGACCATCGCCGCCGCGACTATTCCTCTTCTCCAGGTACCTTCGGATCTTTATACAGTTCGCTTGTTCTTCTGTTTGTATGGTATTTGAAAACTTCATCTTAGCGTATCCAAATTCTTATCTACTCCTGCTCACGGACAATTGGTACAGTGCGGGAGAAAAGTTCAAATTTTGTGTTTTCTTCAATTGAGTTGGGATGTTTTGATTTGGACATTGGATCATTGTTCTGCTTTAGTTTTTTGTGTCAATTTCGTGGCATGTGCAAAATAAGTCAGAAAAAATTAGGTAGAACATGTAATAGCTGGACTATTGGAGAATTTGCAGGGTGATATACTGATATGTTATGTCAAAATACGGTTAGTCGTGTTCGTATTTAACGTCCTCATATTGTAAGTTGAATTCATAGTTTTGTTTATGCGTTGTTGCATGTGGGTTCGACCCGTTTTCTTGGAGGAGGAACATGATCATTGGCCAATCGAGCCAATACTCTACGGTTGCAGTCGAAATTGGTGACGTGGCGGACACTTGTAAAGAGGAGAATCTGAAGAAACACGTGCTCCGACCCTTATCTCCTCATCTCCCCATCTACAAACCCCAGCTAAGTTCGACCACCTCAATTCTCAATAGGATATCTGGAGTTTATCTCACTGCTTATGTTCTTGGTTTTTATCTTGTTCCTATTAAACTGGGTTCTGTTAGCTTCAGCTATGAGGGTTTCTATCAGTTCTTGT